ATCTGACGCCTGTACGTGGGTGTGAGAGTGTAGCTGAAGATCGCACGCCTGTACGTGGGTGTGAGAGTGTAGCTGAAGATCGGACGCCTGTACGTGGGTGTGAGAGTGTAGCTGAAGATCGGACGCCTGTACGTGGGTGGTGAGAGTGTAGCTGAAGATATGACGCCTGTACGTGGGTGTGAGAGTGTAGCTGAAGATCGGACACCTGTACGTGGGTGTGAGAGTGTAGCTGAAGATCGGACACCTGTACGTGGGTGTGAGAGTGTAGCTGAAGATCGGACACCTGTACGTGGGTGTGAGAGTGTAGCTGAAGATCGGACGCCTGTACGTGGGTGTGAGAGTGTAGCTGAAGATCGGACGCCTGTACGTGGGTGTGAGAGTGTAGCTGAAGATCGGACACCTGTACGTGGGTGTGAGAGTGTAGCTGAAGATCGGAACACCTGTACGTGGGTGTGAGAGTGTAGCTGAAGATCTGACGCCTGTACGTGGGTGTGAGAGTGTAGCTGAAGATCTGACGCCTGTACGTGGGTGTGAGAGTGTAGCTGAAGATCGGACGCCTGTACGTGAGTGTGAGAGTGTAGCTGAAGATCGGACGCCTGTACGTGGGTGTGAGAGTGTAGCTGAAGATCTGACGCCTGTACGTGGGTGTGAGAATGTAGCTGAAGATCTGACGCCTGTACGTGGGTGTGAGAGTGTAGCTGAAGATCGGACGCCTGTACGTGGGTGTGAGAGTGTAGCTGAAGATCGGACACCTGTACGTGGGTGTGAGAGTGTAGCTGAAGATCGGACGCCTGTACGTGGGTGTGAGAGTGTAGCTGAAGATCGGACACCTGTACGTGGGTTGTGAGAGTGTAGCTGAAGATCGGACGCCTGTACGTGGGTGTGAGAGTGTAGCTGAAGATCGGACACCTGTACGTGGGTGTGAGAGTGTAGCTGAAGATCGGACGCCTGTACGTTGGGTGTGAGAGTGTAGCTGAAGATCGGACGCCTGTACGTGGGTGTGAGAGTGTAGCTGAAGATCGGCGCCTGTACGTGGGTGTGAGAGTGTAGCTGAAGATCGGACGCCTGTACGTGGGTGTGAGAGTGTAGCTGAAGATCGGACGCCTGTACGTGGGTGTGAGAGTGCAGCTGAAGATCGGACACCTGTACGTGGGTGTGAGAGTGTAGCTGAAGATCGGACGCCTGTACGTGGGTGTGAGAGTGTAGCTGAAGATCGGACACCTGTACGTGGGTGTGAGAGTGTAGCTGAAGATCGGACACCTGTACGTGGGTGTGAGAGTGCAGCTGAAGATCGGACACCTGTACGTGGGTGTGAGAGTGTAGCTGAAGATCGGACGCCTGTACGTGGGTGTGAGAGTGTAGCTGAGATCGGACGCCTGTACGTGGGTGTGAGAGTGTAGCTGAAGATCGGACGCCTGTACGTGGGTGTGAGAGTGTAGCTGAAGATCGGACGCCTGTACGTGGGTGTGAGAGTGTAGCTGAAGATCGGACGCCTGTACGTGGGTGTGAGAGTGTAGCTGAAGATCGGACGCCTGTACGTGGGTGTGAGAGTGTAGCTGAAGATCGGACACCTGTACGAACAAGGTAACCTTCTCCTCCTGCCGCCGCCGCCGCCACCGCCACTCCTGCCGCCGCCGCCTCAGCCGCCAGTCGGCCACGCTCGGCCGCGTCTCAAAGGGAGAACTACTCCTTAGCTTCTTCCGCTTCTTTGTTTCATTTTTTCTTCATCTTTGCTACGACTTGTGTGATAAGGCGGCTCCCTAGAGAGGCAGAGGCGCCCTTTGTTCTTGGTCTCTCTGCTGCCTCTACTTCGCTCCTCCAGCTGGTCTGTTGTTGGTCTCTCTCTCTCTCTCTTGCCTCTCCTTCGCTCCTCCAGCTGGTCTGTTGTTGGTCTCTCTCTCTCTCTTTGCCTCTCCTTCGCTCCTCCAGCTGGTCTGTTGTTGGTCTCTCTCTCTCTGCTGCCTCTCCTTCGCTCCTCCAGCTGTCTGTTGTTGGTCTCTCTCTCTCTCTGCTGCCTCTCCTTCGCTCCTCCAGCTGGTCTGTTGTTGGCTCTCTCTCTCTCTCTGCTGCCTCTCCTTCGCTCCTCCAGCTGGTCTGTTGTTGGTCTCTCTCTCTCTGCTGCCTCTCCTTCGCTCCTCCAGCTGGTCATTGTCCCCGTCAGCAGCTTCCTCACCCGCATGAGACCAGCTGCTGCTCCCAGAATTATAGAGCACTCTGGTTATTCCAACATCACATAACTTGTCTTATTCTTTTTCTTAAGTTAACGTTGAAGGTTAACTTCCTTCTACGTCACCACAAGACCTAGGCTAGGAAGTTAAGGACTTAAGTCGGAAGATATTTATGTTAGGTTAGGTTGTTATGTTATGTTGTTATGTTAGGTTGTTATGTTATGTTAGGTTGTTATGTTAGGTTGTTATGTTATGTTAGGTTGTTATGTTATGTTAGGTTTGTTATGTTATGTTAGGTTGTTATGTTATGTTAGGTTGTTATGTTATGTTAGGTTGTTATGTTATGATAGGTTGTTATGTTATGATAGGTTGTTATGTTATGTTAGGTGTTATGTTATGTTAGGTTGTTATGTTATGATAGGTTGTTATGTTATGTTAGGTTGTTATGTTATGTTAGGCTGTTATGTTATGTTAGGTTGTTATGTTATGTTAGGTTGTTATGTTAGGTTGTTATGTTATGATAGGTTGTTATGTTATGATAGGTTGTTATGTTATGTTAGGTTGTTATGTTATGTTAGGTTGTTATGTTATGATAGGTTGTTATGTTATGTTAGGTTGTTATGTTATGATAGGTTGTTATGTTATGATAGGTTGTTATGTTATGTTAGGTTGTTATGTTATGTTAGGTTGTTATGTTATGATAGGTTGTTATGTTATGTTAGGTTGTTATGTTATGATAGGTTGTTGTCGGAAAATCCGACACCATTTAATAATCATACAGATAATAGCTGTATTGTATAAACAAGTTACCCATAGAAAACGTAACTTGTAGTGGAATTACCGTCTAAAGAAAACGGGATATCATCACCACATACTATTATAAACCACCACCTATTATGGTGGGAATTATTCTTAAATACATTAGTCTTTGGACTTTACCATCATAAAAACATCTTATATAAATTAACTTAATTATCAATATTAAAGTAGAGTAAATGTGACCCTTCTATCACTTTCTGACATGTGGACAATGTAAGCCAGGCGTCATAGTGAGGAAGGAGGGGGCAGCCATTGTTGATACTAGACCAGAGGCTCACACGGGAGCAAATTCGGCTCCTGTTAATTTTACTTGAACGAAGTGTTATGGAAACCAAAGGTGTACCATTATCACACGCTGTCAACAAATTAAGTTAAGTGTTCTTTCCGAAACCCATGTATCTTTCATTTATGGCCATTAATGTCATTATATAGGGTGACCCGGTTAGAACGCGACATAGCCTCAAACTAAAGGTAATTAAGCCAGGTCTTCATGTTCCATGTATAGTGTTTTCTCTGATATAACTTGTCATATATAGGTATCTGGCTTTACAGCTAGCGCCCTTTTGACAGGTCAAGACGAGGAGGAAGATTTTGTGCACCAGTTACTGGGTGACGGAAGCTACCTCAAAGAGGATAATTTGGTGTCAACACCCTAGTTATACCTGGTGGACTAACCTGCTGTACTATAAGATAAGGAACCTCTTCAATGTATGTAGTTAATTTTGTAGTTTGATTGGCTGCATATATATATAAACTATTAAACCCCCCCTAATGTGTAGAGGATCGATTTGTGAGATTATGAGATTATTGCAGAAATACAGTCCACTTATCATTATACAAATTGCTATCGAAGTATATAAATTAACGTAAATATAAATTCATATAAATTAAACAATATAAATCTCACAGGTCGGTTCCCACAGTTGTTATGTTATGTTAGGTTGTTATGTTATGATAGGTTGTTATGTTATGATAGGTTGTTATGTTATGTTAGGTTGTTATGTTATGATAGGTTGTTATGTTATGATAGGTTGTTATGTTATGATAGGTTGTTATGTTATGATAGGTTGTTATGTTATGATAGGTTGTTATGTTATGATAGGTTGTTATTGTTATGTTAGGTTGTTATGTTATGATAGGTTGTTATGTTATGTTAGGTTGTTATGTTAGGTTAGGTGTTATGTTATGTTAGGTTGTTATGTTATGTTAGGTTGTTATGTTATGATAGGTTGTTATGTTATGTTAGGTTGTTATGTTAGGTTAGGTTGTTATGTTATGATAGGTTGTTATGTTATGTTCGATTTTTATGTTATGTTAGGTTGTTATGTTATGTTAGGTTTTATGTTATATTAGGTTGTTATGTTAGGTTAGGTTAGGTTACGTTATGTTAGGTTAGTTTAGGTTATGTTAGGTTACGTTAGGTTATGTTTTTTATATTAGGATTGGTTGTTATGTTAGGTTGTTATCTTAGGTTAGGTTAGGTTAGGTTATGTTAGGTTACGTTAGGTTAGGTTTGGTTGTTGTGTTAGGTTGTTATCTTAGGTTAGGTTAGGTTAGGTTAGGTTAGGTTACGTTAGGTTAGGTTTGGTTGTTATGTTAGGTTAGGTGTTAGGTAAGCTTGTTTTGTTAGATTGTTATTTTAGGTTAGGTTGTTAAGTTAGATTAGATTGTTATGTTTGGATGTCAGATAAGGTTGTTATATTAGGTTAGCTTGTTAGGTTAGGATAGGTTATGTAATGTTGCGTTAGCTTGTTAGGTTAGTTTGTTTTCTTACGTAAAGAGATTATGTAAAAAATAACTGTGAAAAAAATAATTTTAAAAAATTATCTGTAGAAAGTGACTGTCTGGAGACTGGTGGTGGACCACTGCAGGAGGTGACTGTCTGGAGACTGGTGGTGGACCACTGCAGGAGGTGACTGCCTGGAGACTGGTGTTGGTCCACTGCAGGAGGTGACTGTCTGGAGACTGGTGGTGGTCCACTGCAGGAGGTGACTGGAGACTGGTGGTGGTCCACTGCAGGAGGTGACTGGAGACTGGTGGTGGACCACTGCAGGAGGTGACTGTCTGGAGACTGGTGGTGGTCCACTGCAGGAGGTGACTGTCTGGAGACTGGTGGTGGTCCACTGCAGGAGGTGACTGGAGACTGGTGGTGGACCACTGCAGGAGGTGACTGGTGGTGGTCCACTGCAGGAGGTGACTGTCTGGAGACTGGTGGTGGACCACTGCAGGAGGTGACTGAGACTGGTGGTGGTCCACTGCAGGAGGTGACTGTCTGGAGACTGGTGGTGGTCCACTGCAGGAGGTGACTGGAGACTGGTGGTGGTCCACTGCAGGAGGTGACTGGAGACTGGTGGTGGTCCACTGCAGGAGGTGACTGGAGACTGGTGGTGGTCCACTGCAGGAGGTGACTGGAGACTGGTGGTGGTCCACTGCAGGAGGTGACTGGAGACTGGTGGTGGTCCACTGCAGGAGGTGACTGGAGACTGGTGGTGGTCCACTGCAGGAGGTGACTGGAGACTGGTGGTGGTCCACTGCAGGAGGTGACTGGAGACTGGTGGTGGTCCACTGCAGGAGGTGACTGGAGACTGGTGACGGTCCACTGCAGGAGGTGACTGGAGACTGGTGGTGGTCCACTGCAGGAGGTGACTGGAGACTGGTGGTGGACCACTGCAGGAGGTGACTGGAGACTGGTGGTGGTCCACTGCAGGAGGTGACTGGAGACTGGTGGTGGTCCACTGCAGGAGGTGACTGGAGACTGGTGGTGGTCCACTGCAGGAGGTGACTGGAGACTGGTGGTGGTCCACTGCAGGAGGTGACTGGAGACTGGTGGTGGTCCACTGCAGGAGGTGACTGGAGACTGGTGGTGGTCCACTGCAGGAGGTGACTGGAGACTGGTGGTGGACCACTGCAGGAGGTGACTGGAGACTGGTGGTGGTCCACTGCAGGAGGTGACTGGAGACTGGTGGTGGTCCACTGCAGGAGGTGACTGGAGACTGGTGGTGGACCACTGCAGGAGGTGACTGGAGACTGGTGGTGGTCCACTGCAGGAGGTGACTGGAGACTGGTGGTGGTCCACTGCAGGAGGTGACTGGAGACTGGTGGTGGACCACTGCAGGAGGTGACTGGAGACTGGTGGTGGACCACTGCAGGAGGTGACTGGAGACTGGTGGTGGACCACTGCAGGAGGTGACTGTCTGGAGACTGGTGGTGGACCACTGCAGGAGGTGGACTGTCTGGAGACTGGTGGTGGTCCACTGCAGGAGGTGACTGTCTGGAGACTGGGAGGTGACTGGTGGTGGTCCACTGCAGGAGGTGACTGGAGACTGGTGGTGGACCACTGCAGGAGGTGACTGTCTGGAGACTGGTGGTGGTCCACTGCAGGAGGTGACTGTCTGGAGACTGGTGGTGGTCCA